TGTGCCATTATCGTGAACTCGGCACACCATTTGTGTGAAGCGCTCTGAACATCCAAAGTTCAGAATGATTTCCCAGAGTCCATCGTTGATAGCTCTGTTGGAGGTTTTCGTTAAATCGACGAAAGAGGTGTAGAGGGTGGTCCTCATCCCTTGGCACTTCTGTAATTCGTCGGCTGCATTCAATATGTTGCCGGGCGCACGATGAGCGTCATCGTTTCTGACGGTCGAATCATCACCGACAAGACCACAGTAGATGACCTAAGTCGTGGAGCCTTAACTGAAAGGGATTGTCAAGTAGAACTGCAGCACGTGCGTTTGTTTAGTAATGTTCCTTTCGAAGTACATAACGTAATACTTCGTCATTGCGAAATTTTACGAACGTCAGATTACATCTCAAAAAAACTGAGGAATATACAATTCTTCTGAAATCAGAAGTGTGCGGTGCGCAATTTGGAAATCCTAGGGGTAAGTGCAACGGCAGGCGGTGTTTAAAATCATTCGGGCATTGGAAAGCCTTTTTAAAAGCGCTATTTACCCATTCTTCAAACAGAAAATTTGGAGAAGATGAAATTTTCTGCAAAAGGGGCATTAGAAAAGATGCTTTTGCACCTACAACGCATGTCTGCGTTTGCAAGGGTATCGAAAATCAACAGAAAAAATCATACGAATTGTGTAGTAAATTTTCGCAGGCGTGATTTTTGAGCGTGACTAAAAAGACACACATTCAAGTGGCATCATCTGAGTTTTCATAAAATACCTTAGAACTATGCTGCGTGCTAATCGCTATTGCAACTTTGCATGAGTAATCCCTCCTAACGGAAATCATATTTCGGAATTGTAGTTTAAATCTAATGATTTAAGTCGTCTTGCATAATTCAAATCAATTAATTTTGAAGTAACCAACTGTGCTTGGATGAGCATATCGCTTCCCTCTGGCAATACTATAACACGACCGCTTCCGGAAGCTTCACAGACACATTCGAGGAGCTCATTTTTCTCATAAAATTTCGCCGGTTGGCTGGGCCATAAGCGTCAGTCTGAGCACAGCTCTGTGAAGCCCCAGGGGAGAGCTAGGCGCCATTTTGGATCAGAGTACAATGAACACTGCTGCTAGGCATTTGCCATGTCGATAAATTCTTCTGTGAGGCTAAACCTCGTGGGGCATCCCAGTAAACACGGTCATGGTTGTGTATAATAAAGTAATACATAAGAAGAAGAAGAAGAAGGAAATTAAGTGAGCACACACTCAACTTTTGGCGATTGTTCGGAAGTTTTTTGTCTTGGATTTTAGGCCCACCGAGCACCAGAGTGCCTGTTTTATAAGCTTGTTTCATAAGAACCTGTAACTACGATTAGTAGATTGTCAGAGCACAAGAGGTTGCTTACTCGTCTCCAGACATAGAAGGCTCCTTGATGGACTTTGATCTACCAAGTTGGATGTCTTCAGGGGGGGATGAGAGGCAGGTGCTCCTTTTGCTGCGTTCCTTGCTCTAAGTGGAATTAAAGCCAGAGAGAGACAATGAGGCTAGGCTGCGCACAGTCAACGAAACGTGAAATTGCTGGTGAAGTTATCAGCGTGCAGGAAGCTGTGACGTGCGAATGAAGAAAGCGGACGACAGTGCGCAGTTTTAGAATACAAAGACGGCAAGTACCGGCGTGCCAGCACTGAGTGCCTCCTTGGAACAGTCCTGTGTGACAAACACCTCATCGTCTTGACACACGAAGGACTGTGAACGCCAGTGTGTACTGTGTGACCGATGACTTCGACGCCACGGTTTCACGTAATCGAAAAGGAGGGAATTTCGTCGCGAGATGTTGCAACTCGATGGAAGACAGTTAGTATCTATCGAGTCAGCCCTCTGATTTCAGTCATAAATAGAGGCAGAGTAAGAAATCTACAGTCAGCATACAGTAGGAAGAGAAGACGGTTGCTTAGAGGAAATCGTAAACGGGATTGGACAAAGTAAACAAAGAACCTCGCCCTGATCTATCTAAATACCCATCTAAATAGTAAAGAACCGGTTTAGAGAAGTGTAACAGAAACGTATTTGTACAGGAATAGGACGTCAGCAGGCCCCAGAGTCATAACAAAGTGAGAGTCGCAGAAAAACTGTTAGTTAAATTGATCCCAAATATCTTGCTAGCAAGTCAGCATGGAGGCAGCCGCTAGAACGAAACTGTACAAAAAGACTTATCAAGGAACCAATTAAAAGAGTAGAAAAATGTCCTTTTCTTAGACAAACGCCAATGAAATCTCCCGAGATTTTGAAATAATGACCTTACGTCAAAAGATTAGTCATCGCGTGAAATTAAAAAAAACCATCTATAGGCGCATGGTTACGCGCACACGAGATGTGCAGAAAAACGTTATTCCAAAAGATATTTTAAGCAAAGTTCATTAGACAAAAACATGAAAAACCCCTACTGATTTGAGGTTTTGTTTCAACTCGTCGAAAAACACTTGGACGAACAGCAAATACACGTAACGTGCAAATCGACGACTGCATTGCGAACACGCCTTGACATTTTAGACTAGAAAGAAGTCCTCTACAAAATTCCGTACAATCCCTACAATGTGGCCAAACACCAATCAGTAATAAGGAGGCGAAAACACCTGCTCCAATCGGCCGTGCGCATCGTGGATACCGGGCGACCCTTCACTTATGGCAGAACTCGCAAGGGCGTCGTCTGCCTATCCCAGTGGAAGCGAGAATTTAATGAGGCTATGCACCTCTCCGCATACCCAGTTCAATGCCGCATAGAGAAAGCTCCAGGGGGGTTGGATGTAACTGCAGTCAGTTAAACGGCGATGAGCTCATTCAGCGAGGGCTCATTAACTTGAGATTTTTAGACAAATACTTATTTTTAGTCTATTGGGCTTCAAACCTTCTTTGCATATGTAAAGCCGTAACAAACTTACATGGGTATAGTCATTCTCTTTTTCCACA